ACGACAGTGTCAAGGGATGACCGAATGTGCAAATCTCATAAGGTGTTGGAGCATGATTGCTGTGACACCACAATATGCACCTGATGACACTGAGCGCGCTGTGCAGATGCCTGGAGGGCAATGTGGTGGAGTTGCATTGTGAAGCATGCAGTGTTGATGCTTTGTCGGTCTCTTGGACATGATAGCCATGCCATGTCACGAGCTCTTTGTGGGATCGTGTCTTGTGCCCGTGAAATGCCCACGTGGGCTGCATGCAACAGCAGTGCACAAAGCCCATGAAGCTACTGTTCGGGGCCGCAAGACCATGCGGCAAAGCCCACACAGCGGAAAGGCCTGCCAGCGGCATAAATGTTTGTGCTATGTTGACCCCCCAACTCAGCAATTATGGGAAGGACTGGGCAAGTACTGCAGAGCTCTTTGCCATTTGTGTTGCAGACTGAAGTTGGGTGTGAGTCGGTATGGGACTTGATGTTGTGTTGCGGTTGCCGGTTGCGCGTTCGCTTGTGTTGGTTTTCTTGTTTCTTTGCAGGTTCCAATCTTCTTGGTCCTCTTGATTATAGTGTCAACCTACCTAGGGCCATGGGATGACTGAAACGATTGATTTCATAAGGTGTTGGAGCCTGAGGCTGTGACACGACAAGAATGCAGCTGATGACCAGCCTCTTTTGATGCCTTGCACGTTACATGAAGCAACTATGTAGTCTATTGATGTAACATGTTTGTCATGTTTGGCGCCGCTTGGTGGGTGATTGTCAGGATTGCTTGAGGGACACGGAGAAGACATCATGTCAATTCTGGAAATTTGGATTATTTGGCTATGCAATTCTGTGCTATCTAAGCAAAGACCTATATACCTGTTTTGTGCCACGTGATGCATGATACTTCATTCTCATAAGGTGTTGGAGCACAAGACTTGTGCAGTGACACCAAGCGATTGAGACTGATGGCCTTGACAGAGAAGCAATGAGCTTGCTTTGCGTGGCCTAGTTTGTAGGAGAGAGTGCCACTCTGTTTGGCTTTGCCGGAGGAATTGCTAGAGGTGTGCCCAAGGATGGATAGAGACACAGACCATTTGCATGGCAGTGAGGCATTTGTTCCAAAGCATTCAAAAGTTCAGCCTTACACCGCAGGGGGTACAGGTCAATACTCCAAGAGGGAATTCGGGTATGTGTGTGTGTTCTTTAGGCTGGGTTGACTGGTCTATTTTCCGATTCTTCCAGGGGGTCATAACGCTGGGTGTCGGTCGTCCTACTATTTCAACTATACACCCATTCCAAGCAGATGCTTCAAATCACCTCGCTCACCCAGTCCCAGGCAGTCTCCTCAGTCCTGGACCTTTGCTGCGGCAGTGGAGTCCAGGGCATCGTGGCGCTGCGGTACTACGCGCAGAGCGCTAGCTTCGTAGCGGGGGAGCTCAGTGGTTGGGTATGGTTGACCTGGTATGGCTTGGAAGAGGCTGGGATGATGTGAACCTACTGACGAGTATATATTGTTCAAGTGAATTGAAGCCGCCAACCAGCAAGGATATGTAAGGAACAGACTGGGCTTCGAGCCTGCGTGTTTTTTCGGGGGTTGGATGTCACCGAAATGTACCCTCCTGCAGAGGACCACATCGACACCCAAAACCACAACGGCCGACGGGTCAAATGACCAACCCATCAATGGGATCGTTTGCCGGACATGAGAGACGCACCCCTCGACCGGCCGAGTGAGGACTTAAATCCACGCTCGCCTCACTTCGTGCGCTTCAACCTGGCGCTGAATGGCCTCACCGAGAAGGCGGCTATCTTTTGGTTCGTGCCACGATGTGCAACGTTTTGTGCATTTGGAAGAATGGCTGTGGTGCTTCGATGCTGCAAGATTTTGCAGCAAGACACCTGGTGGGGAATCGTGGGAACAGGAAGAGTAGATGAGATTATCATACATGGGTTGGAGGACCTTCAACAGGTTTGAACAGGGCATTTCTTGTGGGCAAAGAGGAACTTTCAAAGGGCTGGGCCCTACACAAGCTCCTGTACCTGCAACTTCCACATTAGCAGGCTGCTGGTTCCAGGGTAAAAGAGGATGTTCAGATGCGCAGAAACCCATCAAACCATGGCGTATATGGCGTCCTAGGGGAAAAAAACAACGACCCACCCCCTCGGTGGACCGGTTTCAAAGAATTTCAACCAGCTCAACCGGGCGTCGGGCCCTCGTTCCTTGATTACCGGTGCAAGCCCCACCTGTTTGGAGAGGCTCAACCGGAGCCCTGAAGCAAAGGTGGGAACCTACCACTGGAAGCAGCCGACGTGCTGAACTCGATCGAAAGCGGCCAGGCAGAGGGGGTCTACGAAGGAGACCTTTACAATGCACTGCCTCCGAGGGAAAGGCTCGGGCTCGGGGCTTCTTCCCCTGGTAGGTTTCAGAGGGGTTTGTGGAGTGCCAAGAGGTGAAACATCTCATTTCGCTGTTGGGTAATAGAATTTGACATGTCACGGGAATGATTGAATTGGATAGAATTCTGAGTATGTTAGGTCGTTCAGTGGTCTGTTGGGTTACTGAACTACTTCTTGCCACTTCTTGCTTCCAAGCTGCAAAGGATCTCGTCTCCTCGTCTCGCTTCGCTGTGCTGTTCTGGTGGAATGTCCCGACCACTGCGAGGCCTTACGACGCGATCGTGGCCAACCCGCCCTTCGTGCCGAACCCACAGGCTGGGCACCGGAGGACACCAACTCCGCCACAGCATTCCATCGCCCGGAGCCGTTTGCAAAGGGGGTGACACCCGGTGTTTGAGACCCACATGGAGCCGGGCGAACGGCATGGGACCTGCAGGGAAGACGAGGTTCCTCTATATACAAACCGGGCGTGGTGAACTCAGGTTCCATGTTAAGCCTCTTCCAGGGTGCAATGTAAGGTCCAAATAGGGACATCCTAGCCAGACGCCGTTATTGTAACGTCATTGAACAGTTCGCAAAGGAATTGAGACCCAGTGGTTGGGCTGGGTGGAATCCTTTCTAAAGAATAGATGATCCCCGCCGATGTACACTGTTGATGAATTGAATATAATAAAACCCTTTAATTCTACATAAAGATGCAAAACCATATAAAGCCACTCTGGAGACCCGCGGGGCTTTATTCGTCAACAGTATGACAGGTGTTGTTTCACTGCCGTCGCTCGTGCAGGGCATCGCCTCCGGTGCTGGCGCCATGTTCGGGAATGGCGGTGACTCAGGTGCGCCGGGAATCACCGTTTACGAAGAGGGTAGGGGAAATCAAACGAGCACTCTCAGGTCCAACCACTTTGGGGTGATTCGCCACTTGCGCACATGTTGTGGCATTTTGATGCAATCTTTCCCGGGAGGACTAGCAAGACACAGAAGATGACAAAACATAAGAGTGTTTCTTGAAATTTGCTGGGCTGTTTGTGGTGATAGGACACACCCCACACCCTTAAAACTCATGAAACCACCAATGACCAGCGTCAACCATCTACTTGTCAAAGTCGTACTGTACAGGCAGTACAGGGATCAAGTTCTATAGCAATCAAATCATGTATATTAAACATTACATAACATTACCATTCCGGTGATGACCTGTCAACCCTGTCGCCATGAGTTCCGACTTCCTTTGATTTGCCAGGTGAAAGGGTTCTCCAGGGCATTCTGCAGGGCGCATCAGCACACCTGTCGCCGGGGGCCCCTTTTGGGTGCTTTGGGTCGTCAAGCTAGGTGACAGGCTCTGGAAAACGACAATGACCTCCCAGCAGGATTGGATGCGTACCGAGTTGGGGGAGTTGAGCTCTTGGACGTGATGAGTGTGTCCTCCAAACTACCCGAGTTGCTGCAAAGAAATAGATGATAATAGTCATATAGTAATAAATATATAATAGTAGTATGGGCTAAAACATGAGCTCAGTGTTTTCCTTTTAACCATCACCTTGGTTTCAGATGCTCCAGCAGGTAAGCTTGGTAAAACCAGGTTGCGAACCGGGAGCCAGGATCCTGTCATTCTTGGGCCTCGATTACTATGTAAGACTCCATGCCATCCAGTACAATGTTACAACACCATCCCCTGATGTTGTTCAGCACTTGTCACTTTGGACACCTACTCCAACCCAGTGACACATTCTGACAAGCACATCACACTGAAGTGTACCAAGGGCCCCTGGAAGGTGAACTCCACTTCCATGTGATGTGTTCGTCAGAGTGATAGTATTGCCTATTGCAGTCAGTGATGCAGATTGCTTGCGTCTTGTTCGTCCGAAGGCTTCGAACAGCTTGCGTCTTCCAGAGCCGGGAGCGTCGCCCAGGCCCGCGGGGCGCTTGACCTTCGTGGCAATGTCTCCCAACGTGCAGGAGCTGTCCGATCCTGTCCGTACTGGGTCTCCGTACGAAGTATCGCATAATCAGAGGGAAAGGACAAGAAGATTGTAGTGATTTTTTTGTGTTTTGAGTCTTGGCTTTAGCTTTCTGAATTCTCCCCCTGGATGCAGATGGAGGACCTATCAGTAGCCAGCAGGACTTGGAGGTTGATTACAGCAGTTCGGGCCTACTGTTTGCGTTGACTGTGTGTCGGGTATCTATCTATCCATCCATCCATCTATCTACATATAAATATATCTATCTGGAATGATTCACAAATCCAGGGGCTAGGAACGAAGAGCTGTGATGCCTGTACATACCGCGAAAGAGAGCTGAAGGCAGTCACTGTCCGCATCGAAGCCATTTTTTACATTGAAGATGGACCACGACAAAGCCACATGAGAATGGCTAACTGAGCGTAAGGCATCCACGTTTAGATTGAAGCTGCGGCCAAATGAGTCAAACCAAAACATCCAACGTCTTGCATCCAACTTGACATACCAAGCTCTTCCAGGTGCAACATCCACAAAAAACATCCTCATCCAACATCCCAAGTCTGGGTCCACCATGTGTTTCTTAAGCTCCAAAATCACATCCACAAATCCCATCCCAGTCTGGTGTTTTTTAAAGCTCAAAAATCCACGAATCCCATCCCAGTAGCTTGCTTTGACTGTTTCAAACCTCTCCACATCTTGAAGAGTCACCTTCGTCACCACCGCCATGGCGGAGAAGAAGAGACGCGTGGCCGTCATCGGTGGCGGGGCCGCGGGCGTGTCCGCCGCCTGGAGCTTGGCACGTTCGTTGAAGGAGGACGTGGAGGTGACCATCGTTGAGCCTTGTGGCTCCTTGGGAGGTGTGGCCTGTACCAAGAGACTGAAGAATGGGCAACTTGGAGAACGTTCATCAGATGATGTTCAGATGACTTTTGTAGTTTTTTGTGTGAAGTTCGATCATTCTTCGTGCTGGGAATCTGTCTAGAGAATCCATGGATTACTTGGGACGGTTTTCAGGATGTGAAATGCTTTGCCCCATACTGGACACTCGGATGGAAAATGTAGAGAGAAGCAAGCCATTTACTTCAGTTCTGAAGTGTGAGCGCCTTAAGACTGCTGAACACCTGATCCACCTGATATTGTGCTGCGTTGTTTCTAGAAATGTGTAGTTATATAAATTTGGAGAGAAGTCCCCGACAATTGCCAAAACAAAGGGGAATCCTTGGATGGCGTCAGACTTCTTGCCGCTGCGATCGGTGAGCACCTTCGATGTCAGGCAGTTCGTGAACTACGGAGTTCAGGGCGGTGCGCCAGCATCCCATCGAAACATCAATTCCTTGCTGAAGGAGTTCGGGGAAGACATCGATGATGCACATCTTTCGGTGAGCTTTGGAAAGAACGAACATCATTGGAGCAACTACGAGGACTCCAAACTGCAGCAGCGACTTCAAGCTGATATCCAACGATTTGGCCGACTCATCAAATGGATCTCTAGATCCTCAGCTATGCCGCCAGCATACCAGGAGCATCCAATGGGTGTCCTGGCTGGACTACCCCGCACTTCTTAGGGATCTCCATTGGACACCCATTGGACGCTCCTGGTATATACATTTATACATTGGTTTATTCATATTTAATCTATTCTATATTTGCGGTGTATGTTGTTGTATTTGGTGTGATAGTTCCAGAGCCGATGTTTGGTAACAACCACTTTGAAAGGTTGACTAGTCAAGTCGGATAGCCCTGGTGATCTACCAGGCAGTTGGACAAAGTAAGGATTTGAGTTCCTGACGCTCTTCTTGTCCATCGATCGAGTAATGAAAATAGCCAGGCTGTCTCAAGAATTTCGAGAGCGCATGGTCTATCCTTTGGTGGCGCTCTTCTTCGGCACTGGAAATCAGACTCCCAACATGTCAGCAGCGATTGTGGCGCGAGTCTTCAACGATCCATCCCTCGCACTCTTCGAGTATTCTCCGGAACGATTGATTGACAGTGAGCCGACCAACTTTGCGTTTCGGAACCTGCAGGAATTCTACAACCAGAAGATGAGACCCTACTTGGAAGCGCGAGGCGTCCGCGTCTTGACCAGTCATCGAGTGGAGAAGGTCTTGAAGCGAAGTTCCGATGGAGTTACACTGCGAATCTCAAATCTGACGAACTTTGAGGGCGTGGAGTATCGCGCAGGCGGAGGAGTTTCAAATCTTGGGAACTCTTGCTTAAAGTCAAGCCGTCAAGAAGTTGATAGACAACGCGGGGAAACATTTAAGTGCCTCTCCCCAAATTATCTTCACATCAGGGCAGCTCCCAAATGCTCCCCAGAGGGGTCCACACATCTCCTGGTTTCGTTGGCTCAGGTGGTGATCAGATGTTGTTGTCCTCATCGAAAGCAGAAAGTCCAGCGAACCCAACAAGTTGGGACGAAGACTTCGACGATTTGATCCTCGCTTGTCCCGCCAATGTCTCCTTGCAGATCTTGGGCGACAACGCCACCTTCTGGGAACGCAGGGTCCTGGGCTCTGTGGAATACTTTGATGACTTGTCGGTGACACATTGTGATGAAGAATACATGAAGAAACACTTTGAGGTGGATGGAAAGGCCATTTACTTCATCAAGTCCTACGAACAGGATGCGAAGCTCCTGGAGATGGGCTTTGATTTGTCAGGATATCAGTCCAGCATTGGAGTGGGGGTCCGCTTATCAGGCGAGGATGAGAAGCCTCGGAGAGTTTATCAGACGATCTTTCTGGACAAGAAGCGAAAGCAGGACCTTTGGCCTCTTACTTGCCTGATGGGTAAACTTTAGGCTTTTTGTAAACGGAGGGCCCTTTAGAAGGCTATTCGTTGTCGGCAAACATGAGGCTCTTCATTTGGCATGCTTGTTTCTTCGGAAGGTAGTGACAGTGTCGTTTATCACTGAGGCCTTTGTTTGAAATCAAAGAGTCCCTCATCATTGACAAGTCCTGGTGGCATGCCTTTGCTCACACCATGACGCATTTTCGATGGGTGGTGCCTTTCGTGTGGCTCCTGCATCGGCAGAGCGCGGTGAAGCGGACCAGGACCCGAGTGCGTGAACCAAGCAAACCTGTAGCTGAAAATTTGGGGCAACCCCCCAAAACTGACACAGGGGAAGCATGGGAAAGTACAACTAGCAGCTAGCAACTGTGGATGTCGCTTTCTCTTGAGCTGCAGCCCTTGTAGTTCTGGAAGTTGTAGAACCTGCTTGGGATAAGACATGGTAGAGCTGAAAGTGACCAGGACAGACATACCATGCAAACGTCATGAAAAAAGAAACAATCTCAGTGCAAGATCACGCAGCAAACCGCTAGAATGAACAAACAAGTGGAACTAAATATGGAGAAACACACACCTGTGAATCTGACAGAAGAAAACATAGAAAACCTCTAGCATTTGCAACAGAAACCGCACAAAAAGAATCAAGCAGCATCAACCAAGCACCCAAGCCACTTCAAGCTTCGACGCACCAGGACCTATTTCGCGGGCGCCTGGACGCTGATCAACACCCACGACATCGCTGTGGTCTCGGGCCTCGCGGCGGCGCAACGCTTGGGCGCCCCCTATCCCTTCGTCGCTCGGTCGCGGTCAAACTGGTTGGACCGACCTGGCGGTGGACTGCGAAAACAGGGAGTTACCCGAGGTATACCCTCCAAGAAACGGGGGGGATTTTGGCGGAAAACCATGGACCAAGAGCGAATAACGCTGGGTGTTTGTTGGAAACGTGCGGTTGGGAAGAGGTGCGAAAATCATGTGGAGTGTTTGATGATCTATATCATGATCATTCACGATCTATGTGTTTTTTTTGCGATCTCTCCATAACATCCTTTTTTGGGATACTCTTTGAGGGGGGCATTGGCTTCCTTGAGAGGTGGACACAGGATAGTCCGGGCCAACTGCTTTTGAGGCAGAGAATCGCTTGGCCTTGGAAGCGTACAAGACATATTGGATGGTTGGACATTTGACAGCACCTCGGAAGTGAGCAGTGTGAAGTCTTGGGACTTCCAAGGAGTTTGGTAAGGTTTGATTTGGATGCGAGACGTGCACTGCATGATTGGAGGATATTGGATTTGTGGAGGAGGAACAGAGAATTCAGCTGCAATTTTCTTAGATTTTCTACCCTACTAGTACAGACAAGTATATTGATGTTGTAGGGAACCTTTTTGTCTTGTACAACCACCACTGCTGACCAGCAGCATTGTCTCAGCTGCTCACCGCTTTCTTTACAAAATCTGACTTGGTCGAGCAATGCTGGCAATTTGACAGTGAGTTCTCACATGTAGGACCGATGCTTGTTTTGACAGCCCTTTTGCTCGAGGAGCTTCCAAAGCGGATGACCGAGCCAGCAACCGAGCCAGCTTTGTGAGTCCAGTTTTTGGCGGGCACATGGCCGTGGCGATGGTTCAAAGATTGGAGTTTCTCTTAAAGCTTGGGATCACAAGAACTATCAAAGTTCTATTCGTTGCAGACCCGAAGTTTGAGATACACTCCTTTAGATTCAGAGCTGAGTGTTTCATTCATAATGGTCCAAAGCACTGATACTGCCCTCACAAGAGTCCCTCCAAAAAGGCCTATTGCTTTTAGTAGAGGGAGTAGCGTGTGGGGACCCAGCTTGGAGGGTGGTTTGGAATTTACTTCACCCTGATTCATGTCCCAGTTTTTTTTTCCCTGCTCAGGTGGTGTGATGCCAAGGGCACTGGCTTGGTGTTCAGTGGCACTCCCACTGAAGCACCCAGGCAGGACAGCTGGTGGGCCTACTGGATGGTGACCGAACGCAGCATCCCAGTGCTCGCAACTGCGCTAGAATTGCTTATACATTATAAGAACTAGACTATATTGGATAGCTATCCTGGAACACAAAAGGCATGCATTTGAGATTCTTTGCAGTGCTGTTTCTTGGACAACTCGGCCTTGCTGCATCAGCAAGCTCTATACTTAGACTTCGAGTTGGTGAAATATTGTACTGTCCTGGAATTCACCTAGAATCTTCCCAAAAACCTCCAGTGTTTGTGCCACTTGGCAAACACTGTGGCCGTGGCGGTCGCCCAAGACTGTTCAACAATCTATAATATAATTATAACAATCTGAAGAAGTCTCCGCGAACAAATAACGGAGAACAAGTGGGAGGAGGCAAAAACGTTCCCGAACTGATGGAACAAAATGGATCCAAGAGACTGTCGACCAGGTATCAGCCGACCAGCAGTACCGTGTGAGACTCAGAATTTCTTGTTGATATGGGTTGAAGGATCAGACCATCGGTGTGACACTTGTCGTTTGCGAGATCGTTTCCCTGTCTCCGCTCACCGTTGGGTTGGTGGAAGACCCTCATTGGTTTTCGTTTTGTCCGAAGGGACAACAGTCTTCCAAGGAGTCATGCCTTCCGCGTCCAGCAAGGTTCTGGTTGAAGCCAGTCAGGTGGACAGGGAGATGTGAAGACAAAAAAGCACAGTCCAGACAGGAAGCCCAAAAAGGAGTGGTTGTGGTTGGCTTCCAAAGGTTTTAAACAACTAGGGAGAGTGCTTTCATAGAGTGGTGAGACTAGCTTTTGGATGTGCCTATAATAACTACAGTATACATATACAATAGGTTATAGATGTTCAATGATTTCCATTGAAAGAGGTATCCAGTGGATCTGGCCCTGAGCCAGAGGCTTGCTGCCCTGTTTGTGCTCGACCAAATGGCCCAGTAGCTGCTTGCTTCTTCTCTCCAAGCCTGGAGATCCCTTGACCGTTTGAAACAGACACTTTGAGAAGAATGTCCTGTCCCGGCAACAGCCAATTTGTTTATGTTTCAGTCCTATGGTCGTGCCAGTAGCCTAGTAACAAGCGACAGTTCAGCCAGTGACCCAGCCATGGCCACACCACTTGACCTCCTCTCCAATCTTCACCGCCCCTTTGCTTTGGCCCCATTTCTTCACGCGAATCCAATCTATTCCACTGGCTTCGCTCTGCTTCGCTTTGCTTTTGCCTCTCCAGAGGTGGAAACGCTGCGGTACCAAGCGGCGCTGAAGCAGATGAGCGTGAGCACCCTCTCCGAGGCCTGCTGAAGCTGCAACAGCGGGTCAGCCCGCTCTGGGTTCCTTCAGGACTCACCCCCTGGGACGGTTGCAGGGTGTGGGGTTGCTGGGACCGGCCGGACTGAACAGGCGCACGCGTGGTGGGTTGAAAAACATTGGAAAAAAACATCCTCACCGGTGGAAAGCGTGGTAGGGGATGAAGGTCCCTCCCCAAGCATCCGCTTTTTTGCGTCCAAACCGGCGCAACAGCGACGCGGCAGCGACGATGCCAGCCGCAGGTGGTGGGCGTGTTGCAACTGGGCGACGGTGACCTGCAGGTCTGGTCTGGGCCGGACGCCACCGTGCAGGACGTGCCAGGTGTGTAACAAGTCTAAGGTGTATGGGCACATCAATGAAGGAGGAATGCCTGAGACACCATGAGTGTATGGGTGCAGAAAGATGAGAAAGAGTTCGAAGCTGCACCAGAAGGAATTGTTGGAGGAATGATACCGTGTCCTGAAGATACAGCATTTGGTGTGAACACATTCATGACTTTGAAACACCGATCATGAACCGTCCAGGATATGTTGGATGTTCAAGCAAAGAAACAGCCAGAAATAAACGTTGTCGTGCATTCTCCATGAGGCTATCTCGCTCAAAATCCAGGCGGAACCGCATGTCCTTTGGGTCAAAGCTCCAAGCAGCAAAATGCCTTAGTGGGTCATGGCACGCGGGTTTCCCTTGGTTGATCCTGGCAAGTTGACCTGACCTTAGTCCTCAGTAGTATTCAGTAGTCTATTCTCTTCACACGCAGACAATCCAGTCCAGTAGGAAAGTCGCATCCACGACTCACAGATCAGTGAATGCCCAAAGAAACCAAATTAAAGAGAGCTACAGAAATCGTTCAACAGGGAACGACCAGGAATCAGCCGAGCGGCCGGCCCCACCAACCAGCGCTCGGCAAAACTTGAAAAGTTCGCCAGGGGCGAAAAAGGGGAGAGCACCAACAAGTGCACCCTGAGGTAACACTTTGCCAATGCATTTGGTAGCCCTGGCAGTTGGCGTCCCAGGAAAGGCATTGTGCGTCTTCGAGAGCACAACACAGCATCTACGCAGCTTAAGAACAAGGTCTTGAAAGTGTTCCTCTCGGCATCTAAAATGATGTCCTCTGACTACAAAAAGAAACGCCAATTCCTGATAAGTGCACATCACATGGTCAGCGAGAAGCCATTTAAGCGACTTTCCAAAATCACGAAAACTTGCCAATCGGAGGCAGAGAGGTCAAGTTTGGGAGGACAACTTGATTCATCATGATTCCATGAGAAAGAAAAGTTAGTTTCACTGTGGTGCCAAGCAAGACCGGGGTGGATCGTACGGAAGTCAATCTCCGAAACGGCACAATGACGCATAGGCGTGTCAGTAAATGTAGCGGAACATTCAAACCCAATATAGCGATTCAAGTCCGTAAGAGTGCGTTGCTTCTGTAGTATTGCCGCTTGAAGCATGCCTTTATCCTCAGCTGCAACAGCACAACGAGAGTGGGCAAATCTCTTGGCGACTGTGTCTGCAAGCCGATTGAGCTCGATATGCTTTCTTGTAGTGCCTGCCGCTCGAATCACAGAAGCGGGTATCGCAGAAACAGGTAGTTCATCGCCAACATGTGCAGGAATCCACGTCAAGAGCAGTACCGGCCCACCAGTCAGGAGACTCCTGGAGTCGATGACCTTGTGCAACACCTTCCACCATTCGATGTGCAAGCAGTTCACGGGGATGTTGCCAGTATGTACCAAATGATTGACTTGGTTAACAACTTCCTTGCAGTCGCTATAAATATGAAGATTGCAGTCGGACTTCAAAGTAGCAACAATAACTGCCCACAACTCCGCTGTATAGGAGGAAAGGCACAGATGAGAAACTGTTCCAGCATCAAAAATTTTGCCTTCCTCGTCAATAATCGCAAAACCAGCTGCTGTAAGCGGGAAAACCTCTCCCCAAAGCACAGAGCCATCTGTCCACAAGGACTGAGTATAATTTGGTCGATGAAAGGTCTGAACAGGAATTTCATCAGCTCGATCAACATGAAGTCGGTGTCGGAGGATGGCATTAGGGTGCTCCACAATGCCGAGCTGATGGAAATTGGGCCCAAGGTCATGACCGGGACCAGCAGGGAAATGCGACCTTGCTTGAGGACACTGCAAAATGTGCACCAGTGATTCTTTGTCAGTTTCACAGAAACGGCACAGCGGAGAGTCGGAGAATTTGGCTGCAAACCTACGATCATTTGTGATGGTGCACCCAACAAGTTGTGCTTCGAAATGAGCAAGCATGGGGGGTGATACAGAGTCGCGCACCGCTTTCTGGGTCCCAAAGAGCTTGGAATGGAACGAATCAACAAAACCAGTCGGTTTGACAAAATCCTTACGATTCAGGTTGGCAGGGTGCGCATAGTGTATCTGAATAGCCAGCTGTTTCAACAACGGTGCGATGTCACGAACCGAAAGGTCTTCAAACTTGAGTTCCAGGTGACCCAAAATATGCAAATGAAACCTATCGTCAATGGTGATACCAAAAGCATGGCATGCCTGACGAATGCCTACAAGGAGAGAAAACCTGCCCGGGTTAGGCTGATGTGCCAGCCGACGGCATCTAGCAATAGCGTCAGGACTATGGTGCAAAAAACGCAGAAAATCGACAATGGCACAGAATGCCCTAGCCAAGTACGGGTCAACACGATGCGGTGGAGCGAGAAAGCCAAGGACCAAGTGCTTAGCCCGCCAATGCGGTCGATTGCCCCACAAGACTTGGGTAATTTCAGCTTGGATTTTATCAAGGGCAGCTTTGGGAACCTTAGACAAATGAGAGGCAAAACTGCACTGAGGAATCACCTTAGCACCGAGGAGTTGTGCTTTTATTTTACGAGGCAACGGAAGGGCCCCAATGTTACGAATGTCAAGAATGATTTTATGGGTCTTCTCCTCAGGAAAATCAAAAGCAATCCGCTGGGAGGTGTAGATTTTGGTACCCAGCACATCAATGGTCTCCTGAAGCATAAAATCCGGGAAAGACAAACGAATGCACTGCCGACCGGTCGAGTTCGAAGCCCAAGCAACCGATTTGCCAGCGTTGAGTTTCTGTCCTACAAGAGCATCCCATAATTTGGTGACTTCAAGCGCTGTTTGAAGGTTGGCAACATGTTGAATTTTCGCCCACAAATAGATATCATCGATGTAGATG